AAACTCTTAAAGATTGATTTTTTGGTAAATATAATGGTACTATTAAAAATTATCATGTTAGTCTTTCAAAAGAAATTATCATTAAGTTATTCTGTACTTTTATTTATGACTTAAATCAATGGAGCTAAGAAAAAAGATTTGAAACAGGTATTATTTTTCTCTTTCTCCTGGGCCTTATTTACCAATTTTTAAATTTTCTTTTCTCTTTCCACATGTGTGTGTGTGTGTGTGTGTGTGTGTGTGTGAGAGAGAGAGAGAGAGAGAGAGACAGAGACAGAGACAGAGAGAGAAAGAATTTGTAGTTCATGGAAAGACAAATAAAACTTTAAAATGTTCTAATACCTGGGGCAGGACTGAAATAAAAAGTATATTTCACTTTTTGAGGCCTCGTTGTGAGAATGGGGCAAAATTAATTTTATGCCAATTGCACCATTTTCTTTACCCTATAGTATTTGAGAGCTGGCTCCAAGTCATTGAGAATAAAAGACAAAAATAAGAGAGACTAACGAGACTTATTTTCTCCCCCATAGTTCCCAGCACTGGGAAGACTGGGGAAACCCCAGGTTTCACAAGAGACACTCACAAGTCTAGCCTCTCATTCCACATCTGCTTGCATGGTAATTGGGCTGTTTCAGGGAGCCAAGAAGGAGTTAGGGAAGGCATGGTCACCAAGACTTGCGTTACAGGACCACATTGGGTAGGGATCTAGGGTCTGCCAGGAAGAGGTTAGTGCACTCTAGAGAGCCAGATTCACGTCGCTTCTCAGCCTTTTGGCTAAGATCAAGTGGAGAACCAGATTCAGAATTAGCCTCTGCTCTACCTGTCAATGTTCAGAGTGAGAACTATCAGCAGAGCAGCCTATGGCAGTGATTATACATCCACTAAGTGAGTTAAGAGGACTCGAATCAGCCTACCCCATAGTTTCTGAAGGACACGAAACTGCGTTGAGTTAGCTTGAAGGCTGTGCACATACATACCTGTAATATTAGGGCTCATGTAGAGGAATTACAGGGAGATAGATAAGAGGAAAGAAGGCCTACTGATGTTTGGAACAAAAGGTAAAAATAAGGCCGGACGCAGTGGCTTACGCCTGTAATCCCAACACTTTGGGAGGCCGAGGCGGGCAGATCAGTTGAGGTCAGGAGTTCAAGACCAGCCTTGCCAACATGGTAAAACCCCATCTCTACTAAAAGTACAAAAATTAGCCAGGCATGGTGGTGGGTGCCTGTAATCCCAGCTACTCAGGAGGCTGAGGCAGAGAATTGCTTGAATCTGGGAGATGGAGGTTGCGGTGAGCTGAGATCGCACCACTGCACTCCAGCCTGAGCAACATGGTGAGACTCTATTTCAAAAGAAAAAAAGGTAAAAATATAATATCTCCTTTCCCTTTAAGTGGTTTTTAAAAAATGTTCAGATATCTAAGCTTCATAAATTTGGAGAGTTTTAAGTTGTTCAATTCCTTCCAAATAAGGACTAAATATTTAATGAACATTTACATTGTTTCTATTAATTTTTCTTTCCTCACTATGGCTAAAAATTTTCCTTAAAGAAGACAAGGAAGGGACAAACCATATCCTTTGATGCTCACTGCTAAATTGAGGAATTGGGTTTTATTTTTGCTAAAAAGACATGGCATTAATGTTTGCTATGACCAGTCCCAGCAAGCTGTAAGAAACCACCTCCACTAAGGATATTATGGAAATGCAAGTACCGTTCTCCTCTAACAACTCAACATTCTCTCTTCTCACCTATTTATTACCTAGAACCAGCATGGGACCTGGAACATGTGCCCCACATATTTGAAGACTGATGGAGCTAACTGATGACTGGTGCCTGGGAAGGCAGCATGTTTGCCACCCTGTTCTCACTTCTGAAGGAGCTGGAAGATTTCATTTCCAAAGGCTCTGGCCAGATCACACTCCCCCTCCCCCAAGCTGAATGCCTGGGAATCATCTCTTTCTCACAGACAGGAAGCCCTTATGTCACCATGAAGTCTTGGCAGCAAAGACTGGTAAAGAGGAAAGAACAAACTGGGAGGCAGTTTTCCATTTGATACATGTATTCACTGTAGAAAATCGGAGTCCACTTCAATGACTGGTCTCTTGAAAGAACTGTCTCTGTCAGTCAATCAACAGATATTTATTGAACCCTTAATGCATACCAGGCACCATGCAGGGCCCACAGGAGTACCTTTCCCAGGGAATCACGTAATATAGTGGAAGAAGTGAGGGCTTTGGAATTAGATCTTGAACCAGTCAAAATTTCAGTGTGAAAGTGTTTTATGCTACCATTTTACTTTGTGATCCAAAGGCAAGGAGGAAGGTAAACCAGTAGTATAAAATGATTTCACATAGAATTTCGAAACAGCAGAAGGGTTGCTAGAAATAACAAGGCTAACCACATTATTTCCTACAAGGGCACCTTAGGGGATCCCTGTTTTAATGAATAAATAAAAATGATGTGTAATTATCATATCAATTGCTTGCATCTAAGTGAGTGCTTCTGGAGTTATTTGATGGTGCTTAAAAATCTTTGGTCTCTGAAGTGCATTTAACCATCTTCTTAACTCTTATCTATATTATTAATTTGCAGATCAAAGTTAACTTGGTGCTATGCAAATGAAGGGACTTCAAATGAATGAGATTTTACTGTAAAATTTAAAATCCATATTACTTGTAACAGAACTGCAATATATTTTGAGGACATGCCTCAACATATCTAAAAGAGACATTATGGTTTAAAGCCATGTTATTCAATAGAATTTTCTGCAATGATGGAATTTTCCATATCTGCGTTGTCCAAATACAATAGTCACGAGCCACATATAACTACTGAGCACTTAAAATGTGGCTGGTGTCAGTGGCTCATGCCTGTAATCCCAGCACTTTGGGAGGCCAAGGTGGGCAGATCACGTGAGGTCAGGAGTTCGAGACCAGCCTGGCCAACATGGCGAAACCCCATCTCTACTAAAACTACAAAAATTAGCTGGACGTGGTGGTGGGTACCTGTAATCCCAGCTACTCGGGAGGCTGAGGCAGGAGAATCACTTGAACCCAGGAGCCGAGATCATGCCATTGCTCTCCAGCCTGGGTGACACAGTGAGACTCCATCTCAAAAAAAAGAGTGGCTAGTGTGACTGAGGAACTGAATTTTAAATTTTAATTAATTAATTTTTTGTTTTAAATTGAGACGGAGTCTGGCTCTGTTGCCCAGTCTGGAGTGCAGTGGTGCAATCTCGGCTCACTGCAAGCTCCACCTCCTGGGTTCATGCCATTCTCCTGCCTCAGCGTCCCGAGTAGCTGGGACTACAGGCGTCCGCCACCATGCCTGGCTAATTTTTTTGTATTTTTAGTAGAGATGGGGTTTCACCGTGTTAGCCAGGATGGTCTCGATCTCCTGATCTTGTGATCCATCTGCCTCGACCTCCCAAAGTGCCAGGATTACAGGCGTGAGCCACCCCACCCAGCCAATTAATTAATTTTAAACAGCTGTGTATGGTTAGCAGCTACCTTATTCAACAGTGTAGGTTTAAAGAAAAAGTGAAATTGGATGCTGGGAACCCAAATTCCAGCTCTATCCTTGCTATCTTGGACAATTAAGCTCTGTGAGCTTTAATTTTCTCACTTAAAATGGGAATATAGGCTAGGGCTCAGTGGCGCACACCTATAATCCCAGTGCGTTGGGAGGTTCAGGTGGAAGGATCGCTTGAGGCCAGAGTTCAAGACCAGCCTGAGAAACACAGCAAAACCCCCATCTCTACAAAATATTTAAAAATCATCCAGGTGTGGTGGTGCATGCCTGCAGTCTTAGCTCCTTGGGGGGCTGAGGCAAGAGGACCACTTGAGCCCAGTAGTTTGAAGTTACAGTGAGCTATGATTGCACCACTGCACTCCAGCCTGGGCAACAGAGTAAGACCTTGTCTCAAAAAAAAAAAAAAAAAAAAAAAAAAAAAGCAGGGGGGAGGATTATAAATAATATCTACATCACAGTATTTGGGGTAAGAGGAATTGAGGTAATGTTTGGGCATTCTTTTATTTCCAAATAAGTACCAACCAAGTACCAAAATTAAATATATGGAAAATAAATACTCAACTCTCTTATTTAAAGGTAGTTTCCATCCCCAGAGAGCTATAAAAGATTATTAAGTTCATGATTATTTTCACCTTTCAGATTCAATATTCAGCAGCAATGCTTATAACTATTGGCTGTTAAGTAGCACCACCAGCAGTAACCAGAAATGGTCGTGTGACAGCTTGGGGGTATCAATGTATAGTACACAAAGGGCTGGTAGTCAGAAAGTTTAATTTACAGAAGTTGAGCCTGCCTGTGTGAGAAAAGTACACTGAGAACCGAAAAGCATGAGAAAAATGTTAATGAAATCACTTCTTTATTATTGTTACCATTAATAATGTAATCCATTTTAATTGCCCAAGGAGGTTAAATAAGCCTATTCAATTTAATAGAGAAATCAAGGCATAAATTAGCAGCATAGGCAAGTGGTCAGGAGCTTGAGTCCTTTTGTTGAATATAATTACATAAAATAAGGCATGGAAAGTACTTAGTCCAGGGCATGTCACCCTAAAATGTCAACTATTATAATGATGATAAGTGATACATTTGGGACACCATGAAATTAGAGGCCTTTGTCTATTTTCAATTTGCAAAAGGTATTGGAATACGGAATGATATTTGCACAGATTTAATTTACATGACTGGAACATAGAAGAATCATCTCAACTTTCCATATCTGCACCAGTCCAGAACTGAATCTAGTTGTTTTTTTTGAAACAGAGTCTCACTCTGTCACCCAGGCTGGAGTACAGTGGCGCGATCTTGGCTCACTGTAACCTCCACCTCCTGGGTTCAAGCAATTCTCCTGCCTCAGCCTCCCAAGTAGCTGGGATTACAGGCACCTGCCACCATGCCTGGCTAATGTTTTTTGTATTTTTAGTCGAGAGGGGGTTTCACCATGTTGGTCAGGCTGGTTTCGAACTCCTTACCTCAAGTGATTCGCCTGCCTCGGCCTCCCAAAGTGCTGAGATTACAGGTGTCAGCTACCATGGCCGGCCCGACTCTAGTTGTTTTGACACCACTTCAAATCTAATTTTGAAATGAGGCATGAATGAATGAATGAATCAATCAATCAATCAATGCCTCCTGATTTCCCCATTAACTCAATACAATCAGCTAGTAAAACTCATGAGTCTTCAATATACAATACAAATTTCTCCAAATTTAAGATAACATGGAGGCAACTGGGGAAGGGACCAACTGGGCAAAATGATCAATCAGTCATGTAGCTCAAGTGTCTGCTGGATATGAACCTAGACTACTTTCTGAGGAATGTGGTGCTTAAACCAGCCACCCATATCCATTCCAAGGGGCATGAGAAGCTTTTGACGGGATGCCGGGACAGGAGAGAGCAGGGCCAGTGTTCATTCTCAGGGTAGTGGAGTGAAACCAGCTTCACAGTTAAGCAAAGAAATTCCCTCTGCCTCGTTGGGAAGTTGCCTCTGGCCCTCGATCTCTTCTTCATATCGTCTGGGGTCCTTCTTAACACTTTGTCCCACTGCCTAAACTTTCTCTATCTGGAACTCATTCAGTTTAACAAGGCTCCCCTAGAAACACGTTCCCCGGGCATCCCCTCCCCAAGAGAAAAGACCATATAAAGAGGTCTCACTTACATGACAGTTGCATAACATTGAATTCAGAAATGGATAGTCTTCACTTGAGGTCAGGAGTTTGAGACAAGCCTGGCCAACATGGTGAAATCCCGTCTCTACTAAAAGTACAAAAATTAGCTGGGCATGGTGGTGCACGCCTGTAGTCCCAGCTACTTGGGAGGCTGAGGCAGGAGAATCACTTGAATCCGGGAGGCGGAGGTTGCAGTGAGCCGAGATCGCACCATTGCACTCCAGCCTGGGCAGCAAGAGCGTAACTCCATCTCAGAATAAAAGGAATGGCTATTTTAATCAGGATTTTGTGACGTTTCTACTAGAAGAATTTCTCATTTGATAGGATAAAGAACATTTTGTTAAAACATTTCTGCAATACCCTCAGGCTCCCATAGCATATTGATCTGACCTTTTTTTTAGTAAGCAAATTTGTTCTTGTCATCTAAGTCTATCCAGGGAGCTGACATACTCTGCAAGGGGATAAATAAATATTAGTCACAATTTGTTTTTCTTTGTTTTTTGTTTTTTTAAATCACCTTAAGATGGAGAAGATAATATTTCCATTTTTAGTGCGACTACTAATTAGCACAGATTCATTACACTCGCAGATACATAGGACTTTACTTTTTGAACTGACTTTGATATTCAATAAGGCAAAAATCAGTAAGAAAGTATTCACATTACCTTGCGCCACAATTGCGGAGCGCGATTGTCCTCTTCCATGATGCACTCCTGATGGCCTACCATGCCTGCTCCTGATCTTTTTATCTTCTGTGGAGGCCTCCTCCCTTTGGAGTTCTTTTGAGTCACAGGATGAAATTTTTGTTGCTTACTTGACCAAAGGTCAAGCAGGCTCTCTGTGCCCAGCGCTCAAAGATAAGCTCGGAGGAGCTCAGAGTGTCCCAGTTATTGAATAAGGAGAGATTTGAGTTGCGGGGGACTCTTGCTTTAATTACCACAAGCCTCCTCTTGTCCCCTCTGGGCTGTTGTTCATTGACAATTGCTGTGCTCTGAACTAGTGCTATGATGGCCTGTTGTGTGGGGACAGGCAGGTTGTGGTGAAAGCTGCAGTCGTGAAAAAGGCTATTGTTTAATCTACCCCGTCCCTCGCTGAAGCTATGGCAACAAATTCCGTTGGTGAATTAACTATGTCATTGTGCACTGGCTCAACTGATTATGCTCCTGGAATGACAAACATTTTCTCTCTCTTTTTTTCAAGACAAACAGTGACTGAGACCTTGAAGTGTTAATATACAACTCAGCACTTTCTTTAAATAGGAGAATAAAGATGGAGAAAATAAATCTCTCAAACATACTTTAATTGATTCTAATAAACATTTTATCCCTTCCAAGGAGCTATTCTCAGCACCATTGATAATGAATTTGTGCATCTTAACTATGTGGAGTCTTCGGAATTTGTGTTAAGGTAATTTTCTCTCAGATAACTCTGTGTTAAAAGAACTCTTTAAATATGCATGTGCTTCAGTCTTTCTGAGAACAAGATTCTTTTTAAATCTAGCTGCACCAAAGGGCTATGGAAACTTTGGCTGCAGACTGTTACCTCAGTTCAGAGGGAAGGCAGCTGCTCCACCTAAACTCACCTTTGCCAAGTAAAGATATCCTTTGTCCCATCCTAGCAGGAAAACTCTTAGTAGCTTTCTCCTCAATTTCAATCTCCAGGACAGTAAAACGTGCTCTGATTAGTCGAAGGATGCTTTTCAGACTCCCCAATCCCTCCCCACCATTCATTCATCCTATATCTTCTCCATCTGGGTACCCTGCCAGTCGCTGGGGGAGCTCTGCTGGTGGCCACACTGTGTTTCCTAGCGTGGTAGTGCATACTGTTCTGACTTGCTAAGCTGGAATCACATTTCCCAGGATCCCCGTCCCTGAAGGCGTTGGGTTAGAGATGACCAAAAGAAGAATTTGCACAAGATATGGGAGGTGGGAGTGAAGCGGGAGCCGTTACTTTCCAAAGGTTGTTGTGGTTAGGCATGGTTACAAACAGAGGTAGAGGTGAAAGCGGATCCCGCTTGTCCTCACTCCCCCTCACTCTGCGTCCAGATTTTTTTTTCTGAGTGCTGACCCTGTTGACAAACAGGAGCCCCAGGGCCACCACCAGACACTTGGCTGCAGACCCATAGAGGTAGGAACAGCTTCCCATAGGTCTCCCCAACCGGCTTCCCCTTCCACTTGCACAGCTGGATGTGCTGGGCTTCTCAGACTGATGGTGGGTGGCTCCTCCCATCTTCCAATTTCCTCCTGGACCTCCAATCACCCATCCCTCTCACAATGGGGCCAGGACTAATTCCTATGATAAATCGCTTCCTCTACAGCTCATCATGATTTTGCTTCCCTGACTGAACTCAGATTAACAATACTTATTTTTTCCAAACAATACAAGTACCGTTAGGAGAGCATCCTCAGCATGGAGAGAGGTTAGAGGGCCATAGGGAGAAAACTGCATGGAACTTGAGTCGAAAAGTATCTGGGGAGCCTAAGGAAATAGACGTTATATTTGTATCAGATATCTCCCTACAGTTGCTGATAGCCCTCACCCTGCAAAGCCTCTCTTTAGATCCAAACAGTTAGCTCTTCCCTCTTCTTCCCTCTTGTGGCTTCCCCTCATCCTCATTCTGTTTATTTGTTTGTTTGTTTGTTTGTTTGTTTGGAGATGGAGTTTCACTCTGTCACCCAGGCTGGAGTGCAGTGTCATGATCTGGTTCATTGCAACCTCCACCTCCGAAATTCAAGTGATTCTCCTGCCTCAGCCTCCTGAGTAGCTGGGATTACAGGCGTGCACCACCATGCCCAGCTAATTTTTGTATTTTTAGTAGAGATGGAGTTTCACCATGTTGGCCAGGCTGGTTTAGAACTACTGACCTCAGGTGATCCACCTGCCTTGGCCTCCCAAAGTGCTGGGATTACAGGCATGAGCCACCAAGCCTGGCTGTCCTCATCCTCATCCTCATTCTTTTTTTGTTTGTTTGTTTGAGACAGAGTTTCACTCTTGTTGCCCAGGCTGGAGTGCAATGGTGCGATCTCGGCTCACTACAACCTCCACCTCCCAGGTTCAAGCGATTCTCCTGCCTCAGCCTCCTGAGTAGCTGGGATTACAGGCATGCGCCACCATTCCCGGTTAATTTTGTACTTTTAGTGGAGACAGGGTTTCACCATGTTGGTCAGGATGGTCTCAAACCCCTAACCTTAGGTGATTCACCCTCCTCGGCCTCCCAAAGTGCTGGGATTACAGGCATGAGCCACTGCACTGGGCCCTTATCCTTATTCTTATCTTGCACAGATGATTCCCCAAAAGAGGCTGGGATTGGCCATCAAAGGTAAGCCACACTGCAGAGGTAAGTACCAGGTAGTGAACTAAAACAGAAACAAAACGAAACCATACCCAAGTCCTGGGCACATTATTTCCTCCAGATTTATTCACTGGATCCGTTGAAATGATGGCCCAACTTGATGCAGCACGGACAGGTCAACTCAAATAGAAAGTTTCCCTGATACTAACTGAAGCCTGGTTCAGCTGTCAGGAAAAATCATCCACCTCTGTTTACACTCGTTTGCTCTTGTCAGTAATGGAAAAATTACTCTTGTGTCATTAAGGCCCAATGATTTACAAGAGAGGCATATTTTGAAATTGCTTCTTGCTGTCATATCTTAGAATAACAGTGCATTTGACTATATTTCCAAGCTTCTTGTCTCACATTCCAAAGAAGGATCGCTACCAATCTACTCCCTCAGTTAATTCCTGCTTAGAGCAGGTAATTCTTTGTCATGAGCACAAGAAAGGTGAGAGGGTAGGTTTTGATTAATTATGACTGTAAAACAAAGATAATGAGGACAGAGTCACCAATACCCCTACATACTCTATTCTCATCACAGACCTAGTTGGGTCAGTAAATTAAGCCATTTACCCTTGGATTATGGAGGTGTCTATTATCCAAACACTTATTGGTGGCTTTCTGGGGTCTTCTCTACTTTTGAGAGTCTCATGAACTAAAATGGTATCAGGGATTCATATTGAAAGTTCTGTAGTACCATACAGTGACTACAGTTAAGAGAATTTTACTGAATCTTTACAAATAGCTAGAAGAAAAACTTTTGCATGTTACCAACACAAAGAAAGGATAAATGTTTAAGTGATGAATTTGCTAATTACCCTGATTTAATTATAACACATGGCACACGTAATAAAATATCCCACTGTAGCACACAAATACGTACATTTATTATGTGTCAACTATAAATAATAATAATAAAATATCATTTACAGCAACATGGATGAAACTGGAGGTCATTATCTTAAGTGAAACAAGCCAGGCAAAAAAAGACAAATGTTGTACGTTCTCACTTATATGTGGGAGCTAAAAAGTTTGATCACATAGAGGTGGAGAGTGGAAAGACAGATAACAGAGACTGGAAAGGGTGAGTGGTGGGAGAGGGAGGATGAAGAGAAGTAGGTTAAAGGGCACAAACATACAGTTAGATCGAAGGAGTAAATTCAATGTTTGATAACAGAATGGGGTGACTATAGTTAACAAAAGTGTATTGTCCTGAGGTGATGGGCACACTAAATACCCTGACTTGATCAATATGCATTATACACATGTGACAAAATTTCACATGTACCCCATAAATTTCTACAAATAAAAAATAATAATAATATTAAAAGGGAAAAAAGAAAAAAAATTGTATTTTACTCTCTCCTACCACAAGGGGTGCTCCAGAGCTCTGAGAATCGCCCAGGTCCATATAGTTGGAAATGGGTTGGCAGCAGGTCTCAGCTACCTTGTATAGCACTTTATGTGAATTTAAAAAAAAAAAAAAAAAAAAAAAGGGCACTCCTCTGAGCTCTGAGCTAAAGCAGCTATGTGGTGAGCCTTGTGTAATCTCCCAGTCTGCAAGGAACCTTTGCAGCCCCTGAGCCTCAGAGAAAAGGGAGTTGTTGAAGAAGCAAACTGTGTCAGCCCCATCACAGGAGGTACACACCTGAATTTGGGGGACAAGTATCTTCTCTGGCCAGGGGGTATTCTATGCCAGGAGGGATGGTCAACTAGGCCTCAGCTCTAGAGCTGGTGAACCGTCCTCCTTTTTCACTAAT